GATTCGAGAAACACGAATCTCTCAATTGATTTTCGTAATTGGCTTCCAACCTAATGTTATTTTTTTAGTACGAAACATGTTTCTTCAAACGAATATGTAAAATGTATCGTATAATTTACAACACACTTTAGGTAAGATCAGTTAACGTATCGCGATCGGCGAACCACGATATTGTATTAATTTTCATTTTCTATCAACTCCCTTCGCAAAGGAATCAACGAACATTTTGCTATCCGCTACAAACAACACGCAACATATTCGTAGGGCGATATCAGCATTTCTCTTTTTGTACAAACAGTTTGCTTTTTTTTCTAATGACTTTCTATCACGAAAGGGAAACATTACTTGCAGCGACTAAAGCTATCTAATAATACAAGATTGCATAGGATAATGTTTCTGTTTCATTGCCAAATGCTAATATGAAGAGGCTTTAGCTTGATATCATACTTATCATGTAACTCATTTCAGCTAAACGAGGACATTACTTATCTCATAAGAAGATTTGCTTCAGCCATTTTACTGAATGGTTATACATCATTTCTTAGTCTAAAGTAGATTTTCACTGAAATAAAGATATTACTTGTATTTTGTATGAAAAATTAGTTTGTGAATAAAATTAAAAAATTGTACATAATTCTCTGTTAGAAGCCTGAACTATTGATTTATTATTTGATCTTGGGTTTTATATCTTTATATTATAATTTTTATAATATGAAACTATCTCTCACAATATTAAAAAGTATTTTTTCCTATTTCTGTCAGATTTATGGCACTAGATTAACATTTCAATAAATTAAAAAAAATAGAAACAAATATTAGATGTTTGCACTTCAATATCTAGATATACTGTAATTAATTAAAATAATTAAAAATAATTGATTATTAATTTTATTGTTATAAATAAATTCTTTTCTTTTTAAAAACTAAAAATTTGGCACGAATTTAAAAATAAATTACATAGTTTACGTTTACGTATTTCTATAAATAGACAATATTCTTTCACGTTGTATTACAAAATTAGAAAATATATCATAATAGAATATGTGATAAGGCATTATTAAAAAATAATAGGAAATAAAGAAAGTATAAGAATAGAATATTTGCGCAAACAATCTCTTGAATCTTAACAATGCTAGTCAAAAATAAATGTGCTATAAAGAATTAATGTTGTCGAGGGGTGTCTACAAAGATAAAATTCGTGACCGCGATAATTTATATCAAACCCGTTTGTAAGCAAACGCAAATAAAAATTTAATTCTAACGGGCGAAACTTTATGCGTTCGCGTGACTTACACAGTGATTTTATACAAGTCGATAAAGTTTTGCCACAAATGGAAAGCGGCGATTAATCGCGATAATTTCCCGTGTCGAGCAATAATTACTGCGATTTAGTCTAAGAGCGCTTTATCGGACAGGCGGAGTGATTTAAGGAAGCTATAATTTATTGCGGTGACGCAATAAATTCATGGATTTTTTTTCCGTAATCCGTCTCCCTTTTGTGGTCTCTCGCAATCGATAAGGGTATCGAGTGCGTTGAACGTGTAATAAACGCAAGCGCGAGATTGAAAACGTGACAATTCGATTATTGCGTATGTCGCGCGTTTCTGAAATTAGGAATGGATGCCACTTTTTTTCATATACTTGTTCACGGGACGTTTATATTTTGAATGTTAATAACTCAAGGTCTGAAAGCTTCGCTTTGCAAAATAGTTTATTATCCGGCAAGAATTTTTAATCGAAATGTACATTAAACATTTTCAGACACAAAATGGTTTTGTAAGAGTATTTTCAAAATAGGGACATGTAAACGAGTAATATTTTTCGTGATTGCGTTTCTTAATGTTATTAAAGCCGTGAATAAAAAAATTAAAAAATTAAGATCATTATAAGATATTTGTTAAATATAGCATTTTAACATTTAAATATAAAAATAAATTGCAATATATTTTGAAATATATATCGAATTTCTAGAAAATACATATTAGCAAATAACAAAAAGCATATTAAAAATATATGTAACAGATTTGTTTATTCTAAATGCAATTTATAATGTTACTGGTACAGGTAATAATTAATAATAAACGGCATTGTTATTATAATATTGTGTTGCGATTGTAACTGAAAAATTAATATTTTAATTATAACAAGGTCTCTCGTAAAAAGTTTTTCTCATAAAAAGAGGCATAAATAGCGTTTCAAAGTGAAATACTTTTGTTTTTTTTTAAGGATAAAATGCAAATTGTGAATGTAATTTGCATTTAACTTAAACGAAAAAAAGTTCTATCGAGAAAATTTGTTAAATATTCAACTGCATAAATGCGAATCGCAAAACAAGGCTGTCCTTTGGGCACCATAAATTCTACATCTCGTACTACATTGTTAATTATGTTAATCACTGTGCTCATTTTCGCGGTACAGCTTCCGAATAATTCCATCATAAAGTCGTCATTCTGGTCTGTGAATGTCGAAAAACAGTATATCAACTTTTACATTAATCCATATGTAATTAGAACAAGTATTTAATTGTACTTTTTGAGTTCTTAATCCTTTATCTTGATTTACATAAAAATTTAATTTATTATTTATATTTATCATTTTGTATCTATATTTACTGGCTTGTAATAAATATGCAATATTTATAAACAATACTTAATGATAAAATTTGTTTTAAAATTAAAGATATAGAGGAAAGCCTCCTATTATGAGATAGGCGCCTAATATGAGATAGCGGCTTTTCTGCTAAACTAATAAATGCTATCTGTTGGTTCCACCATGAATTTATTGCTCTTGGATTGAAAACTATTTAGTAAAAAATTCACTATTAAATCATGCCTGTAGTCATTGTAAAACAAGATTTTAGATTTGAATGTCTTCAAGTTTCATTGAAATGAGCATTTAAACTTGTTTATTATTTAATAAATAAATATTTGACAATAAATTCTCCATGTAGTGATAGAGTAAAGTCGTACTAATAGAAAAATATGGAATATGTTGAATTGTTTAATTACAGAAGGTAGATTTGATGATCATAAAATCATAAGACACGGAAATCGTAATATGAGATATACCCAGGGTGTCATATGAGGAATACCCAGGGTATTCCTAATATGAAATAACCCATGCTCTTATATTATGTAGTGAAAATCGTTGCTAAAGTATAAATGCTATTGTACAATAATAAAAAAGACATCCAGAATGAACGTCCAGTATCTATATCTGCGATGCTTGATTTCAACTACCTAAAAACGAGTTCTGAGTATAATCTATCGCATGCTTATTTTTCGCACACACTGTCTGTGTTTGTTTGTATTTTAGAAACATTAAATAAAGTTTTTTAATTGTAATATTGATGTATTTTGCGCTTTACTATTAATTTCTCGGGGTATCTCATATTAGAAGCACAATTTTTTTACTTTGCGATTTGCTCACTTTTTATACTTTTTTAATTAAAAAATTTTTTGAATTAAATTTTATGTAACGTTATCTTAAAACTTATTAAATTCCCTTCAAAATGACTTATTATTTTTTTAAATATTCTGCCTATAGACTTCTAGCATTTACCCAAAATGGACTCGATATCTCATAATAGAGACCTTTTCTCTATGTATATAAACATCGTTTTTATATGAAATCCATTAAAAATTATTTTGAGAAATAACGTTTTACAATAATTGAAACATATTTTTACAAAGAAATAAAAATATATTATAAACGAAAAAGCCGAGATAAAAAATGGAAAACATGTTTTCAATATTATGTAAATATTAAAATTAAAAAACTATCTTATAGAAAAAAGAAATTAACAATGGATAAAAACATAAGAATAACTCGCAAATTTTCTGGTATCTTTGAAGATAATACCCGTGAAAGTTTAAAAAGTGTTATCAGAAAAAAAAAGAAATCTTTTAATTTTCAACAAAATAGGTAACTGTTCAAATGCTACCACATTACACCTAACTAATTTACATTAGGAAATTTAACTTGTTTAAACATTTTGCTACTGTGTTAAATTTGTGAAGAAGCATGACGCCTTTGGTTAACTGTTTACGACGTAGTTAAGTTAGTTAGTTATGTTCTCTGTTTTCTATAGAATATTATGTGCTGCACTGCAACTTGCGTGATGCATCGTAATGATCTTTGTTTGCAAATTTAAACTGAATTTAATAGGCGCATTTCTTATGTTTCAATTAGGTTGTTAAAAATTTATTTGGCATAGCACATGATAATTTTAATTCTTTTATTACTGAATATTGATTATGATGTAAAATTTAATAAATTGAATATTGTTAGCGTATATAACATCAATATAATTATTATCAATATAAGCATTTCTAAAATAATTAATCAGGATGTGCAATAAATGAAAATACAAACAGATTACTTTCACAGTATAAATGAATATTAAAGCGCAAAACAAAATTAACAGAAAAAAATTGGAAATATAATATATAGAAAGTTCTCAATTAATATTTTTTTAAATCATGAACATAATATCCGGATTAAGCGATAATTTTATATTTTATAATAGTTTTATGTAAACTTGAAAACAATGGAATTCCAATGAGTCTTGTTGCAGGAGAATGATGTACAATTTTTTAATTTTTACGTGCTTTGTTATAAAAATTTATAACGAGTCTTTAAAGAAACTGTTTGTTGAATAATTATACCAAACACGTGATAAGCTTAAAACTATCTATTATTGTTATTACGGGAAAATTGATAATTTTTTAAATAAATATATCTAAAATATGGAGGTACGATGGCATTATAAAATTATTAATGACAGATTCTAACAGAGTTTGTATGTAACCTATTTTGCATACCCATCACAATATTTATTTTAAGTATAATTGTGCGTATCATCAATTCGCGGCAGTCGGACGCATTGTAATGTAACTAACAATAAGTAACATGCAAAATTAAAAAGAAACGTGTTGAAAAAATATAACGATTCGCCAACTAACTTAAACAAATATTTGTTACACATCTGGTATGTCGTATGTCCTGAATGGCGAAGCCGGCGCTCGAAGACGCCGCGGGCATTGTAAAGTTTGCAACGACGATGCAATTAAGACCGGTGGCAGTAGCGAGCAAATAAATTTCACCTTTCTTTACTTGCCGCCATTGTCGGCGGATGGAGAATCGCGGAGAAAATATCCTCTTTCTATTCTTGTGGACTTGCAATACACGTGTCTAAAAGGAAGTTAATCAGTGAGCTTTTTATACCGGATAGCAAAAGGTTCGTCGATTTCTTCGACGCTAGACTTGAGTGACCTGGGTCACCGTGTGATTGGTCCCGGTATGCCCGTTGTTCTCCATCGGTTGATGCGGCACTGCCATCCACCTGCCGATTAATCGCCATCGCTTGCAGAACAACTGATTGAAGGTTGTGCGGAATTGTCGACTCATGGCGCAATACAGGATGAAGTTGATAGCCGAGTTTATAAGTGTCAGAATATCTATCACGTCACCTGTCGAGGAAAGAAACAAACTTGATTAGTAGAAGTTCAAAATTGCAGAGAATGATTTAGCTGCGGGAACTTTTCCATCAACTCTTTGAACTCTTGAATAAATTTTTGAGAAGTTTGCTTCTGGAATTTGGTACGTAAGTTACTTGTTGATAAAGAAGGGAAAAATTCTAAAAGAATCTTTAGCGACCTGGAAATCAAGACGCTTTTCTAATGATCTGCCGTTTACCGAATAACTAACTATTTTGAGGTTTAGATTATAGAGTCGCGAATTAATGTAAATCAGAGAGTTAATAAATATTATTGAGGTATTTTTTTTTTAATTTTTTTAGAAAATATCTGTATAGGGGAATATATCTATATCGGGGTCTGTTGTTGTACGAAGTTCATTGTCTAAATGCTTATAACTTAATTAGTACATGGCAGAAAAATCTCTTTTTTTGACTGTATTAAATGTAATCACGGTATTCCTATTTATAGAGAATGATATGTCTTAGAAAATTTTTGTTACAATTAATTATTTTGACAAAGTTTGTGAATACAATCTCTTTTATTCACTAAAAATAGTTATGTGGGATAGATTGACCAAAATAAGAGGGGTTAAATGTTAGTCAATTTTAATATCTTTAAATCGACGTACTTTTAGAGAGCATACAAATATATTATATTTGATATAGCTGTATGTATATATCTTTATTTTTTTATATAGAAACTACAGTACAAAAACAAACAATATATTTTATAATTAAAATAATTATTTTAGTTTTTCTTGTATTAATACTGTTTTCTTATATTAATTACTATTATTTTCCAGAATATAGAACTGATATTAAAATAATAAAAATTGTATTTGTTATATGTGTTGTCCGTAACAAATACAAGATGCTACTGTCAATCCTAGAACATGTGACTATTAATCTAGAGTAAACTCTCACGTTTTTATAGCTTTATTTAAAATTAAATAACTTATTTGTACGATGAATTCAAGAGTAATAAAAAAATTAAAAGCATATTTTATAACATATACAATATAATATTTCAAAAGACATCCAATTAAAAAAATTATTAAAAAAACTGGGACAACAGTTCCAGTATCTCTTACTAAACAATCGAAAGTGGATTAGGTTAAAGTCCGAATCCTTTGGGAATTTCTTTTCTTTTATCCAAACGTCTGTACGCATTGAATTTCAAACGGCTCAAAGATGTGAGTTTCTCCGGGCTTTATTGAAACCTTTCTACAATTTTGTACATGAAGGCTTGCAGAAACGTATTTTTTTTCCTTCTGTATTTTGGTACTTTCTTATTTTTTTTTGCTCTCTATTATTCTCTCTTATTTTCTTTTAATTTTAATGGGATCTCTGTCCTCTCTTTTTTCTTGGAATAATTCAGGCACGTGGCGCGAGCTTAAAACAATTAGAAGTTAGCTTTTTATTTATCCGGATAACAGAATATGAACTTTTCGCGGAACGAGAGATCACGACATATAGAAATATCGTAAATAAAACGATGTATTTTATAACACTTTATATATGAGAAAGCATGCACTTCAGTAAATACATTCTCGATATGCTTCCGAGATTGAATGGAAGTCTCCACATGTCATTTCGAATTCTTTCGCTGGAAGAACGATGAAATACATAAATTTCAAATACATCGCATAGATTTGTTAAAAACAGTATTATTATTATTATAAATTGTTAGGTATTTCGTAATATTTTATTGAGTTCAACAATTTAATCAAGTGTTTTTTTACTGTTTTTAAATTTTAACATTATACTTAAATTTTTATTATCTTTATTTTTATTATCTATATTATGTTTATTATAATAATACATAACATTTTATTGCGAACGTTACATTTACAAAAATGTCATGAGATAACACTGTCCAAAACACTTGTTAAATCTTAATCTCCCGACGGTGATTTTAGCTTGACTTAAAATATAATTTACTTTTTTATCAAGTATGCGACCTGTCGCTTTTAAATATCAGCGTTTAATTGACTTAACATCGTTACTTGACAACGTACAAGTTAAAAGAAATAATTGATTTTGAAGTAGATTATACTTTTATATTATGACAAAGTTTCCTTCTCTGATTATTGATAATATTTAATAGGATTTTAGCTGGAAATAATACGCTTTTTATAAGAGCATTTGTGCGTTTTATATGTGATCTATTTATTTTTTACTAGATAATTAATATGTACTGTACATACTCGAACTTTTGCATTTTAACTAGCGTGCAAATATATATTAAATTTATCTTAATAAAGAATGAACATTTAATACTTTGAGCGGATAATTTCATTTTACTGTTATTTCTAGAATTAATAACTTTTTAATAGCAATAATAATCTTTTATTTGTTAATTATAGAATATATTATCGAGTTAGATATATATCGAACACTTTATTATTTTTATATTTATCCTTTAATTCTTATGTGTTTTTTTTTATTATTATAAGATTTAGGAAATTAATTACTTTATCTATTTTTAAATTTTGCACAGAGAAAATGTTTTTTATTTTTATCTTTGCAGTAATCTAATATTAAAAGAAAAAATATATATATTATTCTAGAGTTAATAAAAGATTGTGTGAAAAATTTTTCTTTTGTTGCATCATGTGCATTACGTTTTATGTTTATAAAATAAATCAGCTTTGTTCTGTGTCAAATCAATAGTACTACAGATGTGCAATCTAATTTTTGCAACGACGCTAAAGTCGTTTGTGTACCATGTAAAGCCGTTTGATCTTTGTGTACGGTATACAATAGCCGTTCTACATAACGTTACTCGAAAAATCGAACATTTGTTTCAATAAGCGAAAAAATCTATTCGCGTCACAACTTCTATCGTGTTGCGCGACAAGAATGCGAGTACGTTGCTTTTTTCGATCCCTTTCGGTGCTCTACAGACTGACGATGATGTTTGCGTAAATTGCCCTTCCGTCGCGGCTAACCCAAGTGTATTTCAACGCGCGACCGCAAGCTGCAAACAGTCCCAGCGAATTGTGCACCGTTTCCTTCGGATCCACGTTTTACGCGACATTTAACGCACCGTTTTACAGTTGTCGGAGGAAATAATAGGGAACTTTTGCGACCATACTTTGGATAGTATGGACATCAAAGTATCATGTTTGATATGAGATTATTGGCGCAAAATTTTACGTGAAATTTTATATATCTTAAAAATGGAATGGTAAATGTTACATGTGCATATACATATATAATTTTTTAATACAATTTCAAATATATATCTAATTTCATTAAAAAATTATGTTTTAATTGCATCATTTTATGATGATAGATTTTTTTATTAAATTGGATTTGGATCATTAAATACAATAATATGATAAAAATAATATGATATGTAAAATAATATTTTTAGGATTATAAAAATGATGATTAGAGTAATTATTTTTCTCTTTCTTCTTTTACGCTACGTTTAATTTTGTGATTACGATGCCACAATCTAACCGTATTTGCTATTCCACATTATACACACGATTCGACGCAACATCAGTGTTTACTTTACAAAAAGCCCTTGTTATTGCAGTATAACGAGAACCACAGGGGAATACGAATAATGGAAGCAAGTTTAATGCGAGTGCACATCAAGTAAGACCTTACTTGTAATACCTGTATCCTTTGTCATTGTCCTGACCGTTCCATTTTGGTGTCGCGTGATAAGTATGGTGCATCTCAGTATCGAACGTTAAATAAATACCCTGGAGGATTCTCATGGCAAGAGTCGGTAACATCGTCGTTGTTTTCAGAAGTGTGAAAATAGAAGAAAATAGGACGACGCGATATTCTTGTTGAGTACTTGCCAATATAGATATATATTTGCTGAATCTCAAGATAGTCTTTTATATCATAATAGCCAAGTGTTTCTAAATCTTTTATCGTATTTTGATGATATTTAAACCATAAACATAAAATGGCTTTTAAACATGATGAAAGTAAGATAAAAATTTCTAACGTTTTATTTAATATTTATTTTTATTACTTATTTTGTAATAAGAAAGATAGTAGAAACACGTGAGATTTATCACATTTGTGATCTGTAAAACAAACATTTACTTTTATAGTTTATGTCCATTTCTTGTTTAAGCTGAATATTTTGCGTGCATTTTAACAATAGCAGCATAAATCATGTAGATTACAATACATTCTGATAAAATATATTCTGAAAAATATTTATGATAAAAGATTATAAGTGAATATTTGAAATATATAATTGCACAAAAGCTGTTATTATTAAATTAGTGATTAATTTAATTATAGAGCATGTTTTTATTTTATGGTTATCAATAAAAATATGTTTTATAATTTAATTTGGAAAATGTATTTTTACTCTATGCTTTTATGTTAGGATAGATATGTTATTATAGATATCTCATTTTTATAAATCATTTGCTTTATTACTTTTTACAGAATTTAATCTTTTAACTGAAATTCATCAGAGAAGAAACGATTTAATAAAGGTGATCTAATAATGAATTGTTAAACAGCAGCAGAATTGTATAATTAGCTTATTCCGTAACATCTTAATGAGATCGTACGACATTTTCGAGACGGTGTGCTTTCGTCGAGTTTGTCGTATTGTTTCAAATGATAAAGAAAAATGTTTTAATAATTGGTTGAAATAAAAAAACAGCAATGATTCTATATTTATGTAATTAAATATAGCTTTGTGAGCTCTTAATGGAATTGTGTGCCATTTCCGGAGAAATTATCACGGCGTTCCATGACATGTTCTTCATCTTCATCAAGTTCTGACGTTCTTACAATTTCATACGATTGTTCTTGTCCCTGTAGAGGGAAAGACAATGAGCATGAGTCTTCTCTCCCTTCAATGGGATTTGTGAGACGCTCAGCAAGCGCGTTTCGAGTGATCCTCAATCAGTGTAGTAGAATCGCAAGAACAAAGACCGCGAACAGAATCTTTAACAATAGTTCTGTACGCGATCTTCCTCGCGTTAAATCTATCAGGGCACT